TTCATTTTGACTACCTATGTGACATGTGTATATAGGTACTATGTATAATAATATATGTAGGTACATGTGTGTATGAAAATTTTAGGAAGTATGTATTGTATACATTATTTTATATTTTTATGTAATGCATAAAATATACATATTATTTGATGCGTAATCGTGTTCTTTAGACAACAATATCATTGAGAAATGTTTCGATATTGTGAACAGAAAATGTTCATTTATTGTTCAAAAGAAAAATGTATATCAAAAAATCATCAACTTTTGATCTTACTCAATATAATCCTAATCCAAATTTAATCAATTCTTTATATATTATTATTATTATACTGTATAACCGTATACAGGAAAAAAATATATACATACATGCAGTGGCGTGCAGATAAGACACAAATGGGGCCTAGGCCCCACTTGAAAATAAGGTGGGTATGGGTTTTTTTTTTGTTTAATAAATATTGTGTTTTCATATAACTGTATAAAGGCCCTTAATAAAACATATATTATTTATAACTTTTAGCTTTGGGTGGGTGATGATGGTGGGTGTAAAAAAAATTAACTTTGTCCCACATGGAAAAAGGGATCTGCACGCCACTGATACATGATACATATATGCAGATATTTATGATCCGTTAATTTTATTTATAGATGGAGAATTGGTGATTTAGGACTTAGACACTTAGGTATCTGTTTTTAGTATTTTAAATATTATGAATGTAGTATTTTTAGTTGCACTATAATATTACGATGTTAAAATGATACATTCAACAATCTCACGGCGTCACTGAATCATGTTGTCGATCCTTGAAGTCGGGTCTACAAGTTGGAGTATGAACCAAAAGCTAAAAAATAAAATGGATTTACTCGTATCTCAGGTTGAAATATTAGTTGGAAAATGCCTATATCATCATTATAATACGGCTATATTATCGTTATACAAAAAAACAATTTTTTCGTAGTTGTCGTCTGTTAAGTGTTTTCCTCCATTTTATTTACAAAAATATGTTTTGCAACAAAACACATTGCAAAACTGTTGTTGTTGATATTTACGTTGATAGTATAGTGTTAAGGATGGTCGTTATATGCACCATACAACACGTATAGATATGCATCGTATGTGATATTGTGATCACTTTATTATTATTATTTACAACAGCCGTAACAACTATAGGCTGTTGGCTGCTGATTGTTTATTCATTTTCTTATTAAATTGTTGAAGCCCAAAGAAGCTCTTCAAAGTATAGGTACTCCTATACTATCCAAATTTAGCAATACATTTCCATATAATATTATGTAGTACTATGTGTGTTTCCGAATGTGAGAGTGATAATTAAGGTGGGCACGGATGCAACCAAGAACATACTCAAACATACTACATTTCACATAGTCTCTAATTAATGACATGGAAATCCGACTCGAGAGGCGGCGAAGGGACAATCGCCACAATTGATTTCCATGATCTTACAACTGTGTATGTATGCTGTATGTATGTCTATATTCATAAGTTTGTATGATTTGTAATGTATTCATCTTATACTACATATATAATAAGTAGGTATAAATATTCAATTATTTAGATGAATAATATATTAATATGAAAAAAAACATAAAAATTGTTATACCATGTTCTACAAATAAAGTAGCACTGAGTACGCCATCGGCACTGGTAGTGGTCTCTATGCATAAGCTTATTAGTTGGTTTAGATGGATCAGATAGGTACACTGGTACGAATTTAGTTATGAACTTATGAAGAACGACATCTACGAAATTCATTCGATTTTTAACGATTCTCGATAAACATTGTGTAGTCGGCGAACAGAGCTGTAGATAGGTAATAATACTAATAATATATGTGTAATATTATATAACATTATTTCATTAATAATATACTATAATTAATTATAATAATGATGATAAGTAATCACATTATGATTAAGACGAAGACTATGAAATATTTTATATTTGGTCAGTGCATAGTGCATATTCTAGACTATAACGGCAGCGGCATCTATCGTCACCTTTTTGAATATTTTTATATTTTAACATTTTTAACAAGAACCACTCATTATTATTACACATCTATGATTGTATGTTTGTATGTTTATTCAGTTTATTATGCATTTTTTTTATGTATTCAAGTCAACAAATAGCTCTATAAGCCACCACATACTTATCGATTTTAGATCTTGAATTCTTGTTGTCTCATACAGTTATACCGAAGCCGTTTGGGAATAAGGGTATTTATTTTTAGGATTTTGAGTCGTTAGGTATAATAGCCAATAGGTACTTCTGTTCCAGCTTGCATGCACATAATACCATCCACCTATGTAATATTCAATATTCTCCAATTCAAAAGTAATAAAACCATAACAATAATGAGCCTTTGAGGCGCGTATGTCCATCGCCAACTTTTAACAACTTCACGGATCCCACCTTTCTAAATCGATAATTTTTCAGTTTGATTAAAATGTTTTCATGTTAATACCTGTTGTGTTGTTTAGCATTTGTATTATTTTAACTAATATTATTTATTCTTAAGTTCGTAGTGTTCGTACTCTAAACTGTATTCATCATTAATATTAGTTTTGTCTTCATAGGATTTAGCCCATAAATTACTAATAATTTAAATAAATAAATATTGCATTGTATTTGTATAGGCATGAGCAGACACGAGTTCGATTAAAGTCCTCACGACCAGTCTCGGACACGTGCGATCGGCCCAATGAATAAGAAAATCGGTTAAATATCGGTGTGTAATATTATTATTATCTATGCGATTATCKTGAGTCGATTCTCGATTTGTGGAACACGTGACAAATGTGACATAATGCATAGTACATAATATAAGTGACATTCGTGTTTTTTCAGGCACTGCACCGGCAACATGTCAAGACCGTTGGCCGATCAAACATGAAATATTAAAATAATGATATTCGTGATGACGTCGTGTGGATGCACACCATGCTATCGCGACATGTCGTGGTCTTTTGGCGGCGATTTCGTTAATCACGTCATCGCGGCCACAGTATCGTTATAAGTAACCGCAGTCATGACAAACAGTAATTAATTATTTTTTTTATCATTATTCATATTTATTACAAATAGTAATCGCTATTCTTAAACATCGGCGGAAGTCCTGATGCATGGTTGCATGTCATCAGTGGACAGTGATGTAGTGATGTGTCATGTGTGTTCCGATATATTATAAAAATAATATGTCATATAAAATTATTATGATTATGTATTATTAATATCAGCGTCACTATAACGATTAATCGAACAATTAGATATCATCATCACCATCATATACAATTGCGGGCGATACAAGGACGTACACGTACCCAAGAGGGAAGAGGTTCAGATTGGTGTCATTGATTCAAAGAATTTAAAATTCTTAACCACTTATACTACTGATTGTACAACATGGTTAATTTTAATATTAAGATTATGGTGTTAATGGTGTTATACTTATTTCTTTTACCAATTAAGGAGTTTATGAATCAAAAGATTTATTATTTTGACATATTTATTTTTTACATGCTACAAAAAATTTGGACCCCCCACATTTGAAAAATTCCTGGGTACGTGCGTACCTTTTTATGCATACGATTACGCGTAATGTATTATTTTTACTTTCATGCAACGTTGACAAAAAAAGTTTTCCCGGCTGTCCAAATTAAAGCATGTTATTTTCAGATAGAATAATTATAGTGTTACCTGCAGGTAAGTTGAATCAAATAAATACGATGTGTGGATGGTATAATATATTGAATATGGTTGTTCATTTCCACCTATTTTATCGATGTTATAAAATACCATGGCCCCCATGGTACCTTCGTATCACCACATAATAGTGCAGCTCTAATTAAGGATTTTCCAAAATTCTCATTTTAAACTTAAAAAAGATGGGTCTTGTACAAGAACTTCAAGTTTCACGATTGTCGACAGAAATCGAATTTTTTTTGCTTCTAAGTTGTTTCCAATCGTTACAGGTCAAACTAGTAAAAGTAGGAAATAAGTAGAAATTAGTATTGTTTGTAATATACATACGATGGCTTCTGGTTATATAAAATAAATTGTTACAATTAGTTTTGTGAATTTGTGATTACCTACTCATTAGCAGTGGTGAATTCGGGTGAGTGGTACTGGCCACCGGGGCACATGCCCCTCCGATCAATTTTTTTTGTAACTACGAATGTCATATAAGTGAAGAATTCAGTTAATAAGAATAATACCTACTACCAACTGTTAATTATTATAAAATTATACAATTATATGTATCAAAATATCGAAAATCTTCCTTGCTGATTACTGATTAGTGATTATGATTGGATATATTTTTAACCTGCGTTAATGATATTTGGTTACTATATTTTTTATTCGCGCATTAATTTGGGTACTTTTCGGTTATCGTACCCCAGCGGTTGGCCGGCCGACTGCGGCGGCGGTCGGGATACCTATACCGATTCCGTTCTCGTACCCTATTATATTTATCTCAATGTTTCCATCATAAAATTATTTTTTATTTACAATAATTTTTTTGGTATTCATATTGTATTGGTAATAATACTTTATTATAATTTTTTTTGTATTGATGTTTTATTATACTTTATTGGTATTCATATTTTATTATAATTTCTTTGTACTCATATAATTTCATATTATATTATTTTATTAAAATAAATTATGTTTTTGGCAATTATTTATTTATTCGTATGACAAAAAAACTTGACAATATTGAGATAAATATAATGGGGTACGAGAACGGAATCGGTATAGGTATCCCGGCCGCCTCAGCAGTCKGCCGGCCGACCTAACGATAACCGAAAAGTACCTTAATTTGTTATGTTAAAATGTATTAAAAAATTGAGTAAGTTCAATTTAAATAAAATCCAATGAATATCGCTTCAATGTCTATATCCAACGCCCGTGATGTCAACGGTGTAGGGAAAGGGGAAAGTATCACAGATTTCAGAGGTAGATCCATGTACCATGCCTGAGTATGAAAAATAGATTTAAAGTGAGATATCGTACGGAAGTAGTGGACGAAGTTGATAGTTTCAAGTACTTAGGATCCGTTTTACAAAAGAATGATGGTTTTTACGAAGATATTATGCATAGGATTAAGTGTGGATGTATGAAGTGGAGAGAAGCATCAGATATTTTATGCGATAGAAGAATCCAAATCAGGTTAAAAGGTAAAATTTAAGACAGTAATAAGGCCAGCAATGATGTATGGATCGGAATGTTGGGCTATAGATAAAACAATGGAGCAGAAAATGAGTGTTATTGCGGTGATGAGAATGTTAAGGTGGATGAGTGAAGTGAAGAGAGAGGGTAGAATAAGAAATGAGTATATAAGAGGTAGGATAGGAGTAGCTCCAATAGTTGACAAATTGCGTGAGAGTAGGTTGAGATGGCTAGGACATATTTTAAGAAGAGAAAAAACTGAGGCAGTTTCAGTGACAAAGAACATGAGTGTGGATGGAAAATGAGGAAGAGGAAGATCAAAAAAGAGATAGTTTGAAATTATAGAGTGCGATATGAGAATGACTGGTGTTTGTGAGGAAGATACTAAGGATCGTAGTAAGTGGAAATTGAGGACTAGGGTTACGTACCCCTAATAGTTGGATGAGAAGGCGAAAGAAAAGAAGAAGAAGAAGTTCACAGATATTGCTCAATTAGTGGTAGCAATAAGTAGCTTACAAAGTTCTAGCCCTATAAGTTTATTTATAAACATAACAAGAAATCATTTAAAAGATTATCATCATCAAGTTTAAATTAATTAGACAGCAATAAATAATTAACATGGGAAAAAGGTCAAATAATAAAACTAATTTGTTAATTTGACAAAAAACTAAAGACTTAAGAAATAAAAAAGTTTAAATTTTTAAGCATTTTACATTTATTATCTGTGAGAAATTGTGTATTCAAAATTATAACATATTAAGATTGATCTACTAGCGGGAACATACTAGTCACAGACTTTTATACTACACTAGATAAGTAACTTCGGGCATAAGTTGAAGCCGGGTTCCGCCATATTCTTGATTGGAAAATAGTATGCTATATCATAGATATTTTTATGGTAAATATTAATCAATGTTGTATTTGTACTTTATTATGTCTAGACCAATTGTTTGTGATAAAAAAAAATTATTTTTTATTGATCACTTTTTGTCGTTATTATTTTATTTCACCTTTAAAAAAATATAGAATCCCATATTTTAATCCATATACATTTTGTGTATGCCAACCAATATTTTGCCTACCGACAACATCTTATCAGCTTCACCCATAACTATGTAAATTATATAAGAGTTAGTTATCTAGGTTGTGTAGGCACCAATGCACCATCACAGACTTCTATATAAACTAGATAAGTATAACTCCAGACATTAGTTGAAGCCGGGTTCCGCCATTTTCTTGGTTGGCAAATAGTATGAAATATTATATATGTATTTATGGTAAAAATTAATTAATGTTGTATTGTATTTTATTATTTCTAGACTTGTTGTTTGTAACAAAACAAAATTATTTTATATAGGCCATTTTGTCATTATTGTTATATTTCACCTATAAAAAAATTTATAATTTTATTTTATTTCTTATACATTTTGTGTATGCCAACCAATGTTTTGCCAACCAGCAAAATGGCGGTCRTCTCCGTGCGGGCTTCACTGACAACAATGTAAATATTATAAGAGTACCTTATCTAGATAGTATAGAAGTCTGTGTGCACCATAGTCTTATGAGTACCTATTACTATTTTAGAGTGTTACTCTATGAMTTCAACCAATTACACAGACGCTGTATCACAGTTAGAAATCTAGTTTATTCTATATATCTATGGGTATACCTAAATCGAGTATCGACCATCAATATATAAGCATTGATAAAAGGGGCCTCAATTGCCTCTTCTCAGGGAACGCGGCCTCAAATATATTTAATATAGCCGTAGCTCGTTGCCTATCCATTTCCTTATTACCTATGGAGATACTAGTTCTTCCGGAGCATGATAATTATTGTAATAAAAAAAACGTTTATATGGTAAGTATGGAGAACCTAGCAATCTATATAGTCTATACACAAAAATACAAAATATATGAAATATTCTGTGGTATATATCTGTGCTGCCACGATTCCTAAAAGTTACAGTAAGTTGGTTATAGGAATTCGACGGTCGCATTGGTTGGATGCACTGCAAATAATACCCCTCCCCTCTCATGAATTAACTGTTGATAGTCAATTATTATTATTGTGTCCTTGTTATCATGTGAAATAACTCAAAATTTCCAAATATCATATTATCCTGCAGCTGCTGCATTCCTGCCAAATAGCCAAATATTATAATAGTTAAATAGTGATATTAGTGATATTAGTGATATTAATGATATTAGTGAATAGTACATTCACTTATTTAAATATTTTCATTTCTTCCAGCCTAAATTCTCCAGGTTTCGTTTATTCGTTGTCATCAAAAGTTATACACTTTGAAATGTCTGAAATATTGTCTTATTAAAAAAATTCGATGTTATTACCTTTTCAATATTATCTAGTTTTGGTATTATTAACACTACAATAATAAATCAAATAATATTTAAACTGCATTCTACAATTTTCGATTTGAATTAATTTTAAACAAAACAGGTAAGTGCTATTCTTTCAAGCAATATATTAATGTTGGTAAATATTAATTTTACTTTTTTCTTAATCCACAATAACTCATAATACATTTAACTTTTTCATATATTAGAAAACATTTTAATCGTATGACTTTTTTCTAACAGACTCCAATATGGTAAAATTATTTGCTATAAGTGTGTTGTACAAAGGACCTAATGATTCAACGCTATTGAAATCTGCATTTGAACTGCAGTCATTTGGTTACTTTCAACGTAAAAGTGTGCAAGAATTCATGGGATTTGTAACTAAAACCATAGTGGAACGTACAATAAGTGCTGCTCGGCAATCTGTAAAGGAAAAAGGTTTGAATTTGTTAATCCTATCAACAAAATTATATAGATTATCAGTATTAATTCATTTCAGAATATATGTGTCATGTTTATGTACGGGCGGATAATTTGGCTGGCGTTCTAATATCCGACGATGAATATCCTCATCGAGTTGCGCATACGCTTCTAACAAAGGTAAACTCATGACAAAATAAATAGGTATTGTGATGACTTGGTGATATTCAGTTGTAATATTTGGAAAATAGTGAGAGTTCTCAATAGTTTTTCATTGATGGTTGATATGCTATGACAGTAGTTCTCAACCGGGGTGACATGGACCTAGCTTAGGGGTGACGCAGAATTTTAACAAGAAAAGAAAAAAAATTTAACAAATTAATTTTTCCGAAAACAGTCATATAATTTCTTATAATAAATATATTATACACCTATACCACCACTGTCATGTACATAACATACCTCAAAGTTCGTATCTTTATAATAGTTTGTATTATTTATATTTAATCTTTTGGTCCGATAAACACGTGTACCTAGTAATAAATATACAGCTAAGATTGTTTATTATTTTGATGTTAGTGTGACACAGTGTTTGATTCTAGTGGCTAAAGGTGACATGAATCAAAAAAGGTTGAGAACTACTGTGCTATGATGTTACATAATATATTAGAGTATAAGCTGATAAAAGACGTAGAAATCTTTCAACCATTTTATGCACGTAATTGAACAAAATTTATTTTTATGTGATCAAAATCTTTCTCTTTATATTATTTATAAATAAGTAAATAATTTATTAATAAATAAATTTAGCTTTGTTGAGGTATTGAGTAATTATATATTATTTTGGAGCTATAATAATTTGAAGTTTCTAAATTAATTAGTTTTTACTTAAATTCACTTCATCTAAAATTAACACTAGTTGTACAGTAGGTTCTGATTGTACTGTAAGATGAAAATATATCACTATATGCCTAGTTGTCTGTATTTAATTTATTACCTTACTGATTATATGTTTTTTTTTTTTAAATGTAGGTTTTAGATGAGTTTTCTGCAAAAGTTCCATCTCATAGTTGGCCTAAACTTAATGAAACTCAGGTTACATTCAATGAACTAAATGCAATGTTAGCCAAGTATCAAAATCCTAAAGAAGCTGATGCTATGACAAAAATTCAACAAGATTTAGATGATACAAAAATCATTTTGGTAATATTTTATTTTTAATGCATACTATTTAATATTTTCATTAATTTTGAGTATATAAAAAAAATAGAATTTAATTGTTTAATTGATCATTTTTTATCATCTCAAATACCTATTATTTGAGCTATTATTGAAAACAACAAATTAGAAAAATTCAATATTTTTATATACCTATTTTCTAATGCTAAATAACAACTTCTTTCTAAGTATTAAACATAAAAATGTATTGTATCTTTGCTTCAGTAGTACAAACTAAAACTGTATAGAAAAAATATTTCTTCTTACTTTTAAATTCTAGTCATTATTTTGCACTTTACACAATCCTTAATAATCTGTGAGTTGTGACATTCCTAATATACTATTATTATTTTTTGCTTCCACTATATATTTTTCACCATACAGGTCTTATCTTCTAAATTGGTTATTTGATATTTTTTTAAAGAACTTTATTTTATCAATTTGTTGAGACTAATTATAAAATATTGTACCTAACAAAATCAAAATAATAAACATTTTGATGTCTTATAGTAATTACTGAAACTATGTTTTAGCATAACACTATTGAAGCCGTATTGGAACGTGGAGAAAAACTTGATGACCTGGTTGCTAAATCTGAAGGCCTAAGTATGCAATCCAAAGCATTTTACAAAACTGCCAAGAAAACCAACGCATGTTGTCGAATGTAATGGATTTAATTGTTACCTCCAGTATGACACAACTGGTTTTAAGTAAAAAAAATTTTTTATTCAGTTGGTCAACAAAACTGTGACTACTTATAAGGATATAAAAAAACAATATTAAGGCTTTTTTATTATTACATTCCGATCCTTTCCCGATTTATATTTGATATAATGATCGGAGAAAAAGCGTATTCATTACTTTTTATCCATATTTGGGGACATGATCAATATTTTATAATAAAATGGATATAAATTAATCTGATATTATTTCTTGAAATAACAATTTTTTTTTATTATTCTATTTTATATAGTAGCAGATCCTGCTTCATTAATCTGATTCAATTAGCTTAGCTATAAACAATCAAACCATATATTTTCTTTAATAGAGATAAAAATATACTAAGGTATTAATTAAATATACTGATAATCTTTAGTTTTCTTCTATAAATTACATTTATAATCATATTTCTGTATCTGCTTTTCCAACTTGTAAAATAAAATGTATAGGAAATGATTTAAGTTGTAAATTATATTACTATTATCCATGACATTCTTTGGTAAATTATTATCTTGTTACATATAAATTTATACTTCGATAGCTTTATACATTTTCTTTTGATTGAATATTATTGCTGCTAGAGCTTATATTACTTCTAGAACTGTAAGATATTGTGCTATAAGGAAAAACAAATATTGAAACAACACTGAATTAAACTATTAAGTTCAGTTAATTTTTTCTGATGTCCATCTAAAAATGAGTAATAAGATAAGAATAATTTGAAAATTGAACTTGATTTTATTTTTTCAATATTCATTATGCAATTCTTAAGATTTTACCAGTTTCTACCATTTATAATTGAAGAATTTACATGTACATTTAGTGTAGTATCAAGAAACTGTTAAGCTGTAATTTTTTTTGTTTATAATGTTTTATTGTTAAAAAAAAAACAATTATTTAACTAATTTGTAGTTAACAAATTATTTGATTTTTTAAATTATTAGAATTATATTTATTAATGTATTTTGCTTAATATTTTTGAGTTTTAATCTTTCAATCCATACAGCAATTATATTATTATATAATGTTCATTATGACAATGATGTACTGATGTATACAGGTGGGTGATTCCTAGGCCATGGCCCACAGTGTAATTTAAGGTTCGATTAAAATTTCAAACGTAATGAATCAGTCATAGTCCCCAAATATTTAATGGCTAAAAGTGATGATAATTTTTATATACACCATTGAAATAATATGATGTATATGTTTGGATATTAAATATTGTGATATTTTATGTCAGTTAATTTTTAACAAAACAGTTTTTTTTTTTTAAATAGAACGGTTTTGTTCCTTTTATAGAATATTTTCTAATATGCCCAAATTACACCTCAATGTAGGTTTAAAAAAAAAAAAAATATTTTTTTGAATTGTAATTATGAACCTATTCAATTTCTTTATTTGATATAAATCTTTTGTAAAATAGTTTGTTATGTATGAAGTTAGTAGTTATTATAATTAATATTATGTAATGTATCAATCATAGTCTTTTATTGTTATATTTTGTGGCTTATTCAAGTATTTTTAATATAATATTAAAATATTAGCACTTTGTTAGACTTAAACATTGGCTTTGGTCTTACATGTTACTAGTTTTATACTTTTTAGATTAATTTCTATCTCTTTATTTTTATATTAATTTCGTCAAATTATGGACGTTTTCTTTATTTATTTGTAAGCAAATATTTAAATCATTAGAGTTGRTGGATATTAAAATATTTTGATCTATTTTAACATGTAAGTGATAAATACTTATAAATACTTATATTATCATAATTTAATAGAACTATGGTTATTTTGATCATATAATTGATAGTAAAAATTATTTTAATCATGAAAAAATAGATTTTTAAATGATTACATAATGCATCAGTCATCAATATTTCTGTTCCCAAATGTATTAATCTGGTTGAATTATGAAACCAATAGGTTTAGTCATTGAATTACAAAAAATAAAATAAATATAAACATACCTACTAAAAAAATATTTTAATTTTGTTGCTTGGTACTTCTAATTTCTATATTTAAAAGTTATATATATATATATATATATATACACCATAACATATTTCATGATAAACCTAGACTAGGAATAATATTGTCAATATAAATTTTACATATAATTATTTGAAATCAAATAAATCAAATAGGTATTGTTAAATTTTTTATACCAGTTAAAATGATTAGGTTTTTATAACCTTAAATTTAATAAAAATCATACTTCTTAGTTAAATTACTAAGGCTTACTTTTGGTTCATATATTTTGTTATGAACATTTATCTAGTAGGTACATAAAAATAGAGATTTAGTTATTTGATCTTCCTTTATAGACTCAAAAACTACCTACTGGACTGTTTTCAATAAAAGTTATATCAATAAATTTCTTTTGATTCGGAGGTGGTTTGAAGCTTAGTTTTTCAACCCATTAGGATTACATGGACACATGGTCACGCATGATTTTTGTTTAAACTCATGAAAATCGAATATTTTTTAAATTTATTTATATGGTTTTTATATTGGATACAGTTAGTGGAATAGTTGTTATTACGGTTTGGATTTCGATGTACTTAACTGTGTTTTCTTATCCACTCGATGCTTATTTTATAACATAATATTATCTACGTTTCTTGTAATTAGGGATGAAGTTTTAATTCTGCATTTTTTTTTCATTTATTACGAGTATTTTTGGAGTTTTTGAGCCTTAAATTAGAAATTTTATTTTAAGATTTTTATTTAATTTTAACAAACTAGAAGTAGGTTTTCGTATAGTCGTATTATATTATCCAATATATATAGTGTATAACGAATAGTGAATGTTAACCCTAGATAACGAGTAACGCCTGACAGTCTAATCATCTGTCATTCTGTTATACCAATAAAATCAGTGTCCGACGATAATTATATGTCAATATCGTTCAAGACGACTTATATTGTCGTTTACAAGTGTGCATATATTTTCCATATTTTTTTACTCTATTATTTTACTTGGTTAATTGATGAAAAATACCAAAATTAAAATGTTCTACAGCGAGTGGAAATAATTATTTTCCAGATTAAAGAAGTCCAAAATGAACAGTTCTGTTTCTAAAACTATTTTACGATTGCTCAAAAATTTATATCATCATTTATTCCCAAGGGTGAAACCAGAGGGAAGCGCTGAAGAAAGTTTTGCCCCACGTTCACAAAAAAAATATTTTATAATTTTTCAATTATTATTAAAAGTCAGCATCGTAAAAATGTTTTTAATTTAAGTGCTCTTTTTCGTTCTGAATACGCCCTTGACCTACTAGTTGTATACAGACGTTCATCAACGCCTAAGACAAATACACATTTTGATAGGCTTTAAGTGGCAAAAATATAGAGATAATATTAAATATATAATATATAATATAATAAAATATAATAATATAATATATTGAAATAGTCAAGCAGCGATGAAATCTTTTCGATTGACTGTGAGCTAATAAAATGTAAAACAATGCAAAAAACATTTTCAAATAAAATAACTAATGTTGGAATTTTACTCTTGTCTTCTACAAACTTTCTGTGCTTTGAGTACTTGTGCGTATCAAATACCTACCTACCATTATTGTAATTGAGTGTTAAAACACTTAAAACGCATACGACAAGTAAGCAAAATAAATTATTATTATTTTTATTTTTAATAATATTTTAATAAACAAGGACGGATCCAGAATCTGTATACGAGAGGGGGCCCTTAAATTAAAAACATTTTTGCGATGCTGATTTTTAATAATTCATGAATAATTAAATTAATTTTTTATAAATGGGGCGGGGTCACTTGCTCACAGTGTTCCTTTTGGATCCACTCTTGTAGTAGGTATAAGTACATCCAAATAATGCTATTTGGCTTATATGTTACTATTGAGAATGATGTTTATTTAATCAAAGATCCGACTTCATTTGAAAATCTGAAAACGATCGACGGAGTAGAATGTCTGACGTACAAAGCTTGTCTATAGGTACGTACTTGAAAATGACCATCATTGATGGAAATCTCGGTCAAAAGTTAGCTGTGACATTACGAACATTATTCGCTATTATGTTGTCTTTATGTTTGCCATCCAATCCTAAGGATCTGTGAAAAAAATTCAGTGACTTCTTGAGTGAAGTAATTTTGTACCGTATTCGTTAGTGTAATTCATTGTTAGCAACGATAATACATTTATATTAATATATTATACAATATTACAATGTTCAGAAAACATTTAAAAATCATTAAAATCATCTTCAATAATTGTCATTGGTGTTTATTTGTCTAATGTTTATGTTTAATGTTTATATATAATCACAATGTTAGAACAATTATGCTTAATTATGATATGATATGAGATGTGAGCCATGTGACACATGCGCAGTTGCAAATTTTTTTTTTGGCATAAACGCAGTTTAGTCCTCCCTCATCATTTTGAATTTTCTATCTCAATTTAGGTATACCTGACTCAATGCGATCGAGCGATGATGCAATCTATTTTTTTATGATTTTATTTTTTTATCTTTCACATCATATTTTATTATATTATAATATCAATAAATATTAATGTTAACTGTATGAACATCAACCAGGGTAAACGATATCCTATAATTGACCTAATTCCTAATAACTATCATTTTAATATTTTAATAGCGTATTTTTATTGAATGATGTAATTTATTGTTTGTATTAAACCTAATGAAGTATAAATGTAGTAATATTTAATATACAATTTAAAACTGTCTACAAGGTTGTTAATATTGTCATAAATATCTCATGATTCATATAATACATTAGATAATTTTTTTTGATAAATTATATAAACCAATTATATTACTATAGTATAGTTACCTATATAATATTAAAATACTTATACTTCATACTATATTCATAGATCATAGTGTTCATACATATTCAATATTACCCACCCACCCTAGTAATAAGTAGTAAAGGACAATTGCCCAAAATATCTATTTCGCC